TCCCCCAAAAAAACAGCAATATATTGAGTACCTACTGAGCATTCATCTGCATTTGCCAAATAAGCCAAGCAACTTGTTAAATACATTTTAAATAATGACTTGATGTTTATAATGCAAGTAACGTATTCGATTTATGTCGGCAATGTAAGTAGTATAATAATCGTACAAAATTTCTTGCGAGTAGCTCATTGTAAGTAATGTATGCTGTTGCCAAAAAAAATGTTTCGATATAGATTTATAGATACAAATTAGGTATATAGGATTGATCGCAACTTTGCTTAGCATAAACAAGAATATTTTGGGGTAATGAAGTTTGAATTTGCAAGAGTTCTAAAAAATGATGTAGTATTTACAACAACTTTCTTTTGATTCGTTTGATTGAATAAGCGCCTCAAGAGGTAAAGAGAGCATCCTATTTTGTAAACAGAAGTTATCTGCATGTAACGTAGATAGATGTTTAATTAGAGAGGTTTTGATGTCATCATACTAAAATTAGGTTATTTTCATCACCTACATCAGTCAGAGATTGAGATGGTGTATTCAGCACCAAGTATACCATGCAGTCGGTCATTCCTAGATATTCAACCTTTAAACTCTCAATATCTGATTCTTCATTTTCCCCTCGAACTGCTACACATTTCCTTGTAAATAGTTATGGGAATTTGGCGTTAGATCAAGATAACAGCTTGATAGGTTAAAGTTTTCTCGATACCTGTTTGTAGGATAATGTATAGATATTATAGGGAGAAGCTCCATGTTAATCACTATTGGGAGTCGAAGGATTAATTCAAACTGATGTTCTTAACTATTAGCTCCTTTCAACTCGGTATGAAATGTTTCTTTGGTTTGTGATTAAGATAAATTTGACTTTTTATAATGTTGAGCACATATGCAAAATAGTTTGAAATATATAAAGGGGGCAAGTTTCTGATGAAACTGTGGTGCTGCGTTGGTGGGAGAGTATAACTGGGTAATTAAGTATTATCAAATGAGTTGATAACATAGTTTGGGCACCGTAAAGAGTTTCAAAGCTGACGTTTCAAGCGTTCACCCTTAGTCAGAGTTTAAAATATGCTTGACAACCACAGGGATTTTTTCCCTTCCTTTCCATGCCATCATCCCCACTGCCAAAGGGATAATTTTCCTCATTCTTTCATGTCACAACTCTTCAATTTTTCCACCTTACCCCTCCCCCTTTCTTAACGAAGGACAGAATTGGCTGATTGTTTATAAAGGTTTGTGCATTTAAACTTTAGGCCACAAACCTGAAAGGTCATTTATCTCTAATCGACTACTGAAAAACTTCCATTATCATGGTATGTCAGGTTGGAGAGTTTCCCTTCCCGATGCAGAGTCGTCAACATCAACGCAAACAAAATGTTGTAATAAGTTATTCTGCAGTTCTATCACATTTATTTTCCCTCCGTGTTACAGATACTTTCTATTCTATGGCCGATAATAGCTAGCATTTACTATGCAGCTCATAGGTATCTAATGCTCTGCATAAAAAAATTTATGAAATGAATTGTCGTCCAGCTCCGAAATTGATGCCTCCATAGCTCCTCGTGACTGGGCTTTATTGCTAGACTTGGGAAACACGGCTGGAATCTCCCTAGCCACATGGCACCCAGCTACAACAAAATAAGGGAAAGTTGACTTGAGAATGAAGTATTTTACGAAGTAACGATCGGATTTGTTTTGTCTTGTATAAAATCATTAACTCTTTAATGGGCCTTTCTGACTGTTTATATTTGTTTTTTATTTTTTTGTTTTATTACCCTGATAATACTGCTGTGAGTTTGCAATTGTCAGGAAGTAAAAAAATTGCTCTCCTTAAAAATAAAAAAGGCTTGATTACGCAATGAAGCCATCATTCGAATCCGAATTATATTATCTTCGTATATCAAGATAACTTTCCAAACCATACTGAAATTTTACGAACTTCTTACCGTTAAAAATTAGTCATACAATCCTTTAGAAGAGTTTATTTTTATAAGAAATTCAACACAAATACTGTTCGTCTGCTTTCTTTGAGAAATAATATAATTTTGTTATTTTGTCATGCTTTGGTAACCACTCGATTTTTGACTGTGAACCTCAACAATGAGCGATCAAGCTCGGACGTCGTGGGGCCTTCCTCTCAAAGGAAATAGAGATCGAAAGTAAACGCACATAGCAAAATATTTCAGGCTCCATGTTATATGTAGAATAAAAAGAATGGGTTGTGCCCTTTGGCTCTTTTTGGCGGGCAAACTTATAAATGTGTCGTTCAAACAAACAATCTCAGTAGTAAAAGACAAGTAGGATAAGTTTCTAAAGAACGCATGGTGCTGCCTCGGTGGGGGAGTTTTACAAGATACTTTGGCTTAATCAACTGAGTTTATAATCTAAATTCGCCACCGTAAAGTATTTCTAAATCTGACGTTTTTGAACGTCAGCCCTTCGTCAGAGCGAAATGAAGAGGGGCGAACGCTCGAAACATTAGCTTTAAGGAACTCTTTAAGGTGACAAATTTACATTATCGACTTAGCTGATAAAACTAAGCTAAATTATCTTAGCGAAAGTAGATTATGTTTGAGACTCGACACTTTGGTCTAAGGATAGTTAATTTTTTGCTCAGTCGTTGTTTGCTTATTTAATTTTCTTTTTTTTTTACTTTCTTTCTTATATTTTTGCTTAACTTAGTTTTGTCTATTGTCTCAAGGAAATACCAGATTAGAGTTAGTGCTAAGTAAAAAGTAAACGTCACATCAGCAGAGATAGACTTGTACCAATCCGTCCTCAGGCGTCGTCCAGCGGGGAAACCAACCCGGGCAGGGTGAGGAGAGCGTGGGTAGGGTGAACGTGTGAGAGAAAGAAGTCGTTCCCACTTTTTCTCTTTCCCGTCATCCCTTTCTCACCCACGTCAACGCTACGAGGAGGCTATTTCTTCCGGCCGTGATAAAAATTAATGTGTTGAATTATTTCTAATAAATTTCATGATACAAGAGGGATTTTAGATAAATATCAACTCAAGTGATAAAGAAATACAGG